CACATAACGGAGTGGCAGAACGTTATAATCAAACCATAATAAATAAGATTAGATCGTACATGTATGATTCGAAATTACCAGAAAATATGTGGGATTTAGGAGTAAGCGCAGCGGCGTACGCGTATAATCGAACACCATATGCTAGCAATAATATGGAATCTCCGTTACATAAATTTGCACCTAATTATAGATATGATATCAATCAAATAAAACGGTTCGGATGTTTTGCCTATATTAAAGTCCAACGAAAAACGGGACCAAAGTTTAGGTACGTTGGTAGAAGAGTAATTTTGATAGGTTATACTCGAACAGGTTATTTATTTATAAAGCCAGAAGATGGTAAATTTTATGAGAGTAGGGATGCTAGGTTTAATGAAAGAATTGTTTACGGAGATAGATATAATGTAAAGAGTATTAAAAATTGGCAGGATGAAAACGTTGGTATAAACAAAGAAACCTGGTTAGTCGAATTTGATAAAGAAAACGTAGAAGGAAACACCGAGACCTCAGATTCGGAGGGAGCGCCTCCGCGAATTAAAAGAAAAAGAGGTCGCCCTAAAAAGCAAGCTGATAATGCACCTGAACATGCTGAGACGATTGTTGATCCTCTCCCTATGGATGATGTATCAGCGAATTTCGTTTATGCTTTTAATAATTCTTTAGAATAGAAAGTTGATGAAAGCACAAGATTAACAATTGATGAAAAATGTCACGCTTTATTGGCAGAAATCAACAAAGATCCAAAGACCTATAAAGAAGCTACTAATGGTCCAGAGAGAGAACATTGGATGAAAGCAGTTGCAGCTGAATTGAAAGCTATGGGTTTGCGTAAAGTCTGGACAATAGTAGATAATCCGGGATTTGATAAGAATGGAACACCGCCAAATATTATAGATTCAAGGTGGGTGTTCAAAACCAAAGTTGATGAAAAAGGTGAGAAGCTTTACAAGGCAAGACTCGTCATACGAGATTTTAAATATCGAAAGAGTACGATTTGAAAGAAACTTATGCACCTGTTTCTCGATTGTCATTGGTCAGAGCGTTATTTGCGATGGCAAATGCTTACGACCTTGATATGTGTCAATTGGACGTTAATACTGCTTTCTTGTATGGTGAGTTGGATCAATTAATCTATATGGAAATTCCGGAAGAACTTCCTTCTTGAAGGTCAAGAGCCAAAGGATCAAGTTTGCAAGCTTAAAAGATCGTTGTATGGCTTGGAAGTAAGTCCGAAGAAATGGAATGAAAAATTCACTGAAGTTACTCTCATGATAGGGCTTGAGAAAAACTTAGTTGATCCATGCTTGTTTACCTGGAGAGATGGTAATGATTTTGTACATTTGCTTGTTTATGTTGATGACATAATAGAAATAGGTAATCATCCAGGTAAAATGTTAGAAATTAAAGAAAAGCAAAAAAGCTGAATTTGAAATGAAAGACTTAGGTGAACCGAAAGAATACTTAGGAATTAGAATTAGAAGAGATAGGAGAAATAAAATTTTGCGACTAGATCAGGAAAAACTTATTGACAAAATGCTTRAAAAATTCTTAGAAGGAAAACCCTATCCTAAGAGAACACCTATGGTTTCGAATCAAGTCCGTAATCGAGAAAGAATAGATCGGGAAGAAACTATTGCTGTACCACTGACAAAAGATTTTCCTTATAGAGAGGTCGTTGGAACATTGCTACACATAGTTAACGGTGCAAGGCCTGACATGGCATACATTACTAATGTGTTGAGTAGGCATCAACTAAATCCAACTAAGAATGAATGGAATATGCTGCAGAGAGCACTGCGTTACTTGTTGGGTACGAAAGGTATGACCTTGACGTTTAGAGGCAAAACACAAGAGTTGCAGGCTTATGCTGATGCAAGTTTCTCTGATTGCAAAGGCTCACTGACTACGTGTGGGTATGTAATAAAGCTGTTTGGTGATCCTATTGCTTGGCGAACACATAAACAGCCAAGGGTTGCTCTCTCCACTTGTCGGGCTGAATATGTCGCATTAAGTGAAATATGCCAAGCTTTGCTGTCAATCAGTCAGTCAATTGAGTTGATAATAAAAAGAAAATGGTATCCAACAAGTGTGTTCAGTGACAGTAAGTCAGCAATAGCGTGTGCGAAATCTGATGGCAATAATAAATTAAGGCACATCGAAAGGAAAGAACACTATGTTAGGGAATGCGTTAGTTTAAATTTGGTTAAGTTAAACTGGGTTCCTTCGAATAAACAGATTGCTGACATTTTCACAAAGACATTAACCTTTGAAATACATAAATATCTTACAGATTTGATTATGAATAATTAAATTGTTATCTTCTTCCCATCCAGGGAATAAATCTTCTTCTTCGCAGGGCTAAGCTGTGTAACTGAGAGTTAACTGACATTCCGTGCCAAAGATTTATCAAGTTAGATTAAATTTATTTTGTATAAGTTCAATATAAACAAGTATGACAAGTTATTTGTTCATAGATTTTGTTTAATTTATTTGCGATTTTGATCACTTAAAGATGTTGTTGAATATATTGTATGGTTTAAATCATTTATAGAGTTTATTAACTAGATGTTGTGGAGTTTCGAGACATACCGGGAGGGAGTGTTAAGAATAGCGTATATAAGAGACGTTATGTCTTCTCACGCCGCCTCCCCTACTCTTTATTCCTACTTCTCTTATGGGCCGCACAGTCCCTTAGTACAGGGCGCTGTTGCGCCCTCTCTTTATTCTGTATTCGGCCTAGCTCTAGGCTTGTTCAACAGTTCTTCCTTTTCCACCGTTTCTTATAATAAATCTTACTTTTGAATATTAACTCTGCGTTGTCTTATTTATCAGCCATACCTTAACAATTATTATTATTATTATTATTATTATTGTTATTATTAATCGACATTAGAAAATCGAAAGTTCATTGCCGCAAATACCAAATCCAGCCAGTGTTTCCGTCCCTGAGCGCGACCCCTCAATTCGCGGTTTTTTTATCCTATTTATTTACCTTTTTTTTTTGTATTACAAAAATTAATTTCCAGGAGTGCTAAGTAATATTTTTGTCTAGAAATGGGGAATGTTTCTGAATAAGTAGCTAAAAAAAAAAAAAAATACTTTATTACGTCCGAACCATCATATACGTTTTGTTTTTGGACTGTGACAAATACAAATTAACGTATAAGATACTCATACAAGAACAAAATTCCACAACATTTTGGGGCAGCGCTCAAACGATAGACCTAAAAACCCGTATTTTCACGGGATCAGAGCCTTATGTGTTAAGTTTCTCGACGTCTTCGTTTTCGGGTATCAGTTACTTCCATGAGAGTGTTTTATTTTTACTGATATACTTAATCATGATTTTTTCGATTATCTTCCCTTCTTACTTCCTTCTAAGCAGAAGAGGGCTTAGTCCACCAATTTCGTATTACGCTGTTGTATTAAATTCATCGATATATAAATATTTACTGCATGTCTATTTAAATACGTTTATATACAATTGTGAGAAATATAGATTGGTTCTAGATTAATTTAATCTTTTTATGGCATCATAATTGTTTGTCCAGAAAAATTTGGAATATTTATAACTGCTCCATTTTGAATAAGTTCTTTTGCTATTAAAGGATGGTTATTTTCCACAGCAAGAAAAAGCGCAGTTCTGCCACATCTATTTTCTCTTAGATTTATATCAGCGCCCATATTTATTAATGAGGTAATTCCTTTTAAGTTACCATTTTGAGCACAGTAGTGTAATGGGGCGAAACCTAAATAATAATCAAATATATAATATGCATGTATAAAGATATATTTAAATAAATATATTAAGAAAACATTACATTTTGTAAAGAAAAATTTTGTATAATATTAATTACTTACCCATACAGTCTACATTATTTAACAGTTCAACGGATGTAACATGTTTTATAATTTCTGGTAATAATATATAACTCTCTTTACTGGCAATTATTAAAGCTGATTCGTGTATTTGTTTAGACGACACAGGATTTGCGCCATACTCTAATAATAACTTAACGATTTCAGGTGACACATTATGCTTAATTGCCAATTCCAAACTTGTCTTCAAATACAAATGTACAAAGATTAAATAATTAATTTTATGTTAGATAAAATAAAAATTAATAATTTATTAATTTTTTTATACTTAATTTATTTTATATTTATATTATATAATTTATTATTAATTTATATTAATTTATTTTATATTTAAAGATTAATAATTAATTTCTGTTTAACTATAAGTCTTTTATTGCTACAAGAGAGAGAGAGAGAGAGAGAGAGAGAATAATTGTAAAAAATGTACCATTTCAAAATCCGTAGGTATGTCTATATCGATGCTACAAGCTTTGAGTACCATAAGATATCTTTTAACGTCACAAATTCTATTATTGACAACAGCTTTATGTATATTCAACATTCCGTTTTCATCCATTTTTGTCACAGTTGCAAAGTCTTTTTTTAATTGTTCAAAGATTTTGTTATGAAATGTAGTTTTTTGCGATAATATTTGTTGAACTTTATTAGCCCCACTATTTTTATTACATATATCTTTAGTAAATTGTTCTAGATATTCATTAGATTCTTGCGATTTATTTACAAGTGAATAAGGTAAATCATTATAGATATTGTTTCGTTGATTACAATTTTCATTGTTGTTTGCTACATTGGGTTCTTTTAATTTTATTTTTGAAATATCAGATACATTTTCATCAGATATATTTTCATCCGTAAGAGGCAACTTTTTATGCTCTAATAATAAATCTTCCTCTAATTTGGTGCCATTTAACGGTTTAAATTTTTTCGATATAGTTAATGGAATCGATTGCGTCCTTATAATATAATTATGCAAGGTTTCGATAGCTTTCATTGCTTTTTCTTTATTTGTTTCGTCTTTTATATAATTCGTTGTTTCTTTAATAATACTCCAACTAGAAGATAATTCATTTAGACATGGTATATTGTTGTCTAATGTATTTTCTGATTCATCTGATTCATCATTGATATTTTGAGATATAAAATTTTCATTATCGCTTGCTTTAGTAATTACAGAATTATTACCTTTATGATTTATAAAAATTAACGAATCATCGTAATTAAGATTTTTTTTACAGTTATCATCCAATGACACTATATTATCTGCCTCCATGTTTTGATCTAAAGTCTTTTTACATTCAGAAATGGTTTTGTTATTTCTTTCATCTTGTAAAATATCTACAAATGTTGAGGAAACTGTGAAATCATCACCTTCCTTTTGCGACCTAGATAGTTTTTGTTTGGAAAATTCATCTGAATTATTTTCATTATTTATAGGTAATAAAAACAATGTTTTTCTTTTATTATTAATTATTTCCCCGTTACCAGACTTATGATTATCTAAATCAGGACCTTGGTCTATTATTTTATTTGCATCATTAGATATACTTACTAATTTATTTGCAATTGTAGTTAATGAACTTGTAGAATCTATAACATTTTTAGATTTCAAAAATTGTGTAGATTTAGATAATTCAGACAATAAATTTTTTTTTTCTACTTGATCCATGTTTTCGAGTAATTTTACAGTACAGTATTTGCTTTCTTTCTTTTTAAAGTTTTTTTCATTTTTTACCAATGAACTTTGAATTTGATTGTATTCAGATTCTCCCTTTTTATTACATTCATTATTTATACAATTGTCTGTTACAATAGTATTTGCATCTTTCTGTTTTTCTTTATGAAATTGGTCATTAGTGGTAATTTTTTTTAAAATTACAGTTTTATGTTTACGGATTTTGCTGTCAACATAGCTATCATCTTTTTCAGAAGATATTACATTAGTTAAATTCGATAACTTAATATCATTTTGTTTAACTTTCATTGATAGAACAGGTACTACAGTTACAAATTTTCTGGCATTATCTTTTGACATTAGACTTGATAATAATATAGATTTTCTTAAGTTTTTATATACATTCCGTTTTAAGACAGATTTACCTTTTATGTTTTTTAAAGGCAATACTTGCGCATTAAACTCTCCCAAATCTTTACCACTCGGTGATTTTAATCGTAACTTTTGAAATTCACCTTTCATCTTTGAATTAATTTGTGATGAAGTTTTTATATTTGTCGATATCAATGATTGCAAGTATAAATTTGTTTCTACCCTTTTGTTGGATAAATCTTTATTTTTATTTACTGAAGTAATACTAGGATACTGTTGCCGTAATGGAAATTCCCTTACTTCTGTTACTGACAAATTTTCCATATTATATAACTTCTTGATAGTAAAAACTCCCATGCATTTAATTTTGTTCTTATATGTCTCTTTATATCTGTAAAATAATATTCGTCAAATCATTCATTAATATATCAAAAATATAATACAAATGAGTGTCTCAAAAGGAAAGGGAAAGTCCCCAATTCTAAACAAAAATGATATTTTTACACCTTTTCTTTTCAGCCACTCGCATATAATTAATCTCGAGTTAACCTATAAATAATATTACCAATAAGCTGTGTACTTTTTAAAAATGATTTATAACGTGATTACTTTTACCACTTACCACTAACGAGTTAATAACAGTAATGTCAATTATTAATTATACAATATATATTCCAAATTCAATCATCTAGGTTATTTAAATTGTAAAAATTCCTGATAAATAAGGGAATTACTGCAAAAATAAGGGGATATCCCTATGCTTAACTCTTGACATTATTACCAACTTAATTTCTAAGACGAAAGCAATTCGAGTTCCATGCTAGCAGGCTACGCTATTTTCGCATTGAATCGCATGATACACTGATTCATATTGAATTTTAATGTTAACATGTTAAGCATCATGCCGATCCTGAGGGGATTCCCCTTTATTAGGACGCATCTGCATTACGAATAAAACGATTCCGCGATTAAAAGATTAATAATGATGCTGAATTTCTATTGATAGCTATATAAGCATTCATTATTAGTCAAAATTTTAAATTTTTTTATTTTATTATACCGTTTAATATAATATTGTTGAAAAATATATCAGGTTTGTTAACATCTATGACGTATAATTACAAGTTTAGCTATCAAAATTATAGAAAATAAACGTAAACAAAGGTAAAGCCTAGTTTATAGACAGATTTAGGGTTAGCATTAAATTCCCTATGCACTAAGTACAATTGTAAAGATTGGTATGAAAAAAATTAAAAAATATAAGAAATTGTATTATTTTTGAAGATAATTTTAATAAAAGTGATTTAATTTTACTTGTAATATAGGTCTTATATTTTTGTTACAAATTTTGAAATAATTTACCAACTAAGCATCACTGACAGCAGTTGTTCGTTCTGTCATGGTAGCCAAATAAATTTTTTTAAAACTAATGCAAATAATACCAACAACATAAATTCTATTAAATTACTCGTACTTCTTTTAATTACATTTTAATAAGATTCAATTAAATTTCGTATGAATGTCGTTTTTTATCAATAATAAAAAGAAAAAAAAGTAAAAGAAGAAAAAGAAACTGTTTCTATGTATCGATATCTATGTTATCTATGTATTTGGTAATAAGAAAAATTGAAAATTTTTTTAACAAAATTCAATGGGAACAAAAATGAGCATAAATAAAAGATGGGCCTGCGAACAATTACAATAACGGTTTATTATTTCAGTGCGGGAAACGTGTTCAGCGTTCAAAAACAAAAAAAGAAACAGAAGAGAAGGAAGAAAAAGAAGAAGAAGAAGTAAATAATTGATACAGGATCCCTAGACTACGTTTATCGGTTGCGCGCATGTGTCTCGAGTCTGTTTTAACAGTCGAAATCGAGATTCGTTTGATATCGTATCCTATCATAATATTATTATGTTGTGTAGCGGCGCTCTTAACCGCTTTGTTTTTTTTCTTTCGAGTTAGAAGCATGTTAAACGTATCGTATTGTGGATTAATAATCTTTTATAAAGATATAAACAAATTGCTATATAGGTGACTAATTTGTACAATGATCCGTAGAAGATATGCAATATGTACGTAAATACACTAAAAGGAATTTATCGGAGTCTTCTAAGGTACGTTAATCATAAATAATTCGAAAAATAGAAATAAGAAATTTAACTTTTTTTACTTCTTCAAAGGAGTAGACAATTTACATTTACGTATAAATTTAATTTTAAATATTGTATCTAACCGTTATCTATAATCATTTCTACGCTACGTGTACGGTACACTTTCAAAATGACGTTTTATTACTCCATATTACTTTGACGGTTACACCTTCGAACGTTCCCATTGTTTATTTTGTGAGATAGATTTTTATTATTATTTATTAGCGACATGTGATTATTCATGCGCGTAAAGTTTTTTTTTCCTTTTTCTTTTTTTTTTTTTTATTAAGTATTTATCGTCTATACGACAGGTGATTTTTGTCGCTAATGAGAACTTTACTATCATATTTATATGTTATTTTTATTTTAATTATTTCGTCATCTCGTGTCTCAACTAATTATTATTTAAAGACTGTTTATATCTAAATCATTATTTTAGTAATTATTTCAATGATTTCTAACGAATTATTAATACTCATATCACACAGAGTATAGTAATTTAAGTGTAATTATTAAATAATAATAATAATAATAATAGTATTATAGGAAATTTCCAATATTTAATGTTTGCTTTTACTTATCTCTACATATGACCCAACACATTTTTCAAGATATCGTTCAGTAAATCCATCATCAATTTGATTCTTTGAATATATATTTTTCTTATGTCAAAAGTAAACAAAAAATTAAACATTTTACAATTACTTATATAAGTTTTAAAATGAGTAATATTTCAATAATTTTGTTAATCACTTTTGCAGATGAATGTTCGGCTGTATGGAATAGCTGGAGCCATTACAATACTTTTGATTGCCATTTTTGGTCTAGGCGTGATAGTTAAAATTTTTATTTTTTTGCTTGTTTTAATACTAGGGTAAATATACATTTATGTATTTATATTTCTTTTTAAATGATATTAATCCTTTGAGCGTTACAAGTGCATATATGCGTTTGTTGATATGAATGCAGAGAATACAACAATTTATAGGCTTTGATAATTGTTTCTATTCTTGTTGCACCTAGGATATGCTTAAAAATAATGTTCTCGTATTATTTCATTCAGAAGATTAACAATGATAACTTAGTTTTAGTTATTTTAATCAATTGATAGAGCTTATGCTAGCCAAAAGGGATTCCATACCAGCAAAGTGCTTTGCCTAAGAGTATTTAGCACTCAAAGGGTTAATAAATATATAATAGAATATTATACTTACATTTAATATTGTTATTCTTTGTTGTTTATTTTAGAATAATGATTTATGTAAATAAAATAACTACTCTTAGCGATAAAAATTCTCTAATATCAGAGCGGGAGGAGATAATCAAAAAGACTGATCAATTTCGGCAGGTATATTAATACTATAAAATTATTTCTTTATATATTTCTTTTCTATTTTAATTTATATTACTTTTGTTTTTTATTTACAGTATATTTTTAATTTATCCAAGGAAAAGATTACTTTTACATTAGATAGAAGAATAACTGGCAGCTCTATTATTGATGAATCTTTGCAAGTACATATATATATATATATATATATACAATAATTATTAATAATCTTTCCGCTTAACACGTTACTTGCCAAGTTGCTATCAATCAAGTGTCATTTCTACACTATATATATATATATTGGAAACAGTACATAGTATAAAATTTAATAAATTATATCGTATTATTTGGTCATAGAAATGAATTTCAGCATATACCAGAAATATAACTTACACTTGACAAAGAACGTGTTAATAGTTTATGTCAAATTAAATAGTACTTTAATGTTTATATTATTATTTTCTGTTAGGAAATTTTAGACTTTATCATCAGAGATTATGTGCAAAGTTGGTACGGCTCTATTACAGACGATAAAGAATTTCTCTATTCAGTTCGCAATAATGCTCAAAAAATTGCCATCAATATAGCAAATCGGTGTGTAAAATATTAAGGCAGCAAATACAAAAAATAAAAAAGGTTAAATTGGATAGTCGTTGATTAATTTTGATTGGTCTTTGCATTATTCAGCATATTTTTTTTAAAAATAGGATAAAAGCCGTCGACTGGATACCGTATTTAACTACGCGTCTTGTTGATGATGCTGCTTCGCATATGAGACTGTATCGTCAAGCTCGAGTAAGGATTAAAGAACTTAGAGCGCAAAAATTATATAAAGGCAGCGCTAGCTCTAGTACTTCAGGTGGAACACCGAAAAAAGTGCCCACACATAGGCGGAACAAAAGTGAAACAGATATATCTTGGTACACACAGTCTAAATTTTACACTCCTAACTTATCGTCTCTCATCGAACCTATCGAATTTGGAGATCAAGGCGAGGAGGAATCTTTAGAGAAAATATTCTTCGACCTTGAAGTACAAATGGAAAATAATTTGATATGTAGAGACGTTGTATGCACAAACAAATCTCAGGAGAAAGAATTATTATGCGAAATATCGGAAGGTCTCTTATATTTAATATTGCCAATGGAAGATTACAATTGTTTAACTGTAAGATATTTTTTAAAAGAATTATTAGCGAATGCCATAATTAGACCATTATTGAATCTATTCTCTGACCCTGATTACATTAATCAGGCATTTATACGGCTGGTAAGCTTGAAATGACAAGTTAATTATAACAATGTATATATGTTATTTTAATATCTAATGAGTCTTAAATTATAATTTCAGTGTAGTAAAGAAAGTGGATTACCAAGTGATATCTTTCTAACGGTAATTAGAATGACCGATAATTTGGAAGAATTAGTGGCAACTAAAAATATTATTTCTAAGGAAATAGCACATCTGCGTTCAAAAGATTTAACTGGAGATGATGATTTGTCAGCTAAGCAACGATTAAATAGTTTACTTTATTTTAAAAAAATTTTGGATGCAAGGATTGTTGGAATGCAAGAAGGTTTAGAATCAGAGGTAGATGGAATTGGCACTCAACCAGAATGGAATAGATTAATTGTTCCTGGTCAAAAATTAGTTAATTTGCCATTAGATGAATTGTTAAAGAATAATATTGCACTTAGTTATTTTATCGATTATATGACTTCTATAAATGCCGAGGCATATTTGTACTTTTATTTAAATATATACGGTTGGAGAGTATCAGCGGAGCAACAAATAGCAGATATTCACTTACAAAAACTACAATCTGGTCCTTCGACCTCAAATATTGCCACTACTAAACGTAAAAATATAGATCTAGAAAATTTAAAAGAGGCTGCTTTAAAAATTCATCAACAGTATTTAAGCGATAAAGCGTCATCTAAGTTACAGTTGGATGATGTATTAGTAAAAAATTTAGTAATTAAAATAAAAACCGAAACTGTTAAGGAAGTCTGGTTTGATGATCTTTTAGTTTGTTGTTACGAAAAGTTACAGAACGAAGATAGGTTTTTACCTAGTTTTAAAAAATCACTTGCCTATGTCAAGCTTCTTGCTGAATTAGATTTGCTGAAAGATCCAACCTCCGAGGATGATACTAAATCTTTAAAAAGTATAAATATAACCAGCGTCAATGACGAATTAAGCACATTGCCAAATTTAACGGAAAGCTATGATAACAATGAAACGAATATAACAGCAAGAAAAGAAAACAAATTGAAGTCAAATTCTTCGTTAAATTTGGCAGGTACCGTTGAATCAAGCGAATTTAAGTTGTGCAGCAATATAGAAAAAAAATCTTTAAGTAATACGAAAGATATGAAAAATATTCAGAAGGAATCAAGCATAGATTTGGATCAAATTAATGAAGGAAAAGATGCAGCTTTTTATTTAGATTCAAACTCAGATAAAAGTATTATGTTGGATGAAAATAATTGTGATTTAACTGTTATTAAAAAATTACAGCAAGGTCGATTTGAAATTACTGCCAAAATAATTGAAACTGGTATTGTTAGCGATCGTGGGAAAACGTATGGCATATATGCCGTCGCTGTTACCAAATGTTACGATTCGGGTTATCAAGAGAAATGGCACATTTATAGAAGATATTCTGATTTCTATGACCTGTATCAAAAGATAAAAGAAAAGTATTATGATTTGGCCAAAATTCCATTTCCTGCCAAGAAAGCTTTTCATAACATGGAAAGAACTGTGTTAGAAAAAAGAATGTTAATGCTAAATACTTGGCTGCATCAACTAACAAAGCCAACAGTCGTCGATGGCCACATGGGTTTACAAAATCTTTTATTAGCATTTTTAGAACAAGGAGATTACGACAAAGGTGTTACTGGAGGTCAAATCTCACGAACGGTAAATTTTCCATAAGATAATTTTTATTACAAACTTATATATTAGATTATATATCTAAAAATTTAATTATGTACTTTTTCTACAGTTAGATAATTTAATGAATCCTTTAAAAACATCTATGAAGAATGTGACGCAAGCAGTTAAGACTATGCCAGATAATATGTTAAGTACGGTAGATGGTGTTATGGATAATATAAGTAAATTTTTTGGCAATCCAAAAAAAACGAATGTATTTTATGAACACGCTAAAGTTGGTGCTAGCTTGGACGTAGAAGTAAAGATTGTTTTTTTTATTAATTCTGTAATAATTTATCTTTACTATTTAATATAATTAATTATTTTTTTTTGCTTTCAGACTAACGATAATATTCCATTGAGGATAATGTTATTATTAATGGATGAGATTTTCGATTTAAAAGTAAGAAATCAGTGGTTAAGACGACGAATCATAACTTTATTAAGACAAATTATTCGTACTATGTTTGGTGATATTGTGAATAGAAGAATAATAGAATATGTTTCATTCATGACTAGTCCCACAAAAGTAGCCGGATATTTACGATTTATTAAGTAAATAGTTAAAATATTGATTAATCAAATTTTTAACACTATTTTCTCAGTTATACTAATGCGTATAAATTTTCAGGAATAGTTTATGGCCGAATGGTATTAAAGCAGAAAATAAACCTAATCGAGATTCGGAAACAAGAAATAGAACTCGAGTGATAGCCAAAGTAGCATTGCTCTCTTGTTTTTCAGATGATTTAAAGCATATCATAGGTAGCGAAACAACAAGACATGGGCTTCTAAGGGTGTTTGAATTATTTCAACAACCTGTATTAAATAGAAGATTATTATATGTATTACTCGAAGGAATTTTAGAAACATTATTTCCAAAAAATAATTTAGGAGATACGTTTAAAAAAGTCTACTCTACATCTTCTCGTTTGAAGGATAATAAAACGAAAACGTAACGGGTTTAAGGATGAGAAAAAGATCCAGATCTTTTGAAAGTGAAATTAAATAATTGAGACGCAATCGTATCTAATTTGGACTCGATAAAAATGTTTTGCATTAACAAATAATGAACTTGAAATAAAATGAAAATGAAATTACACACTTTCTAGAATGGATCTTCAATAATAATCTAATATATTTATATATCAGTTACAATATATTGGCTAAGACCAATTTAATATTTAAGATAGATAAATTGAAACATACGTTATGGTTTCTATAAATTATCTCAGTATCGCGTTGTATTAATTTATATATTTGATTTTTTCTTTGTTCGTTTTGGTTTTTTTTTTGCGTATATTTTTCATTGTTATTTGATATTTATATTAAGAAATATTTTGGAATTTAATAATCTACATTAATATTGAATTTTACTATAATCAGTTCAATTATAAGTAGTCAACCGCCTTGCCTCATTGAAAACTAGTTCTCGTTAGATCACTAAAGTTAAGCAACGATAAGGTACGATTAGTACTTGGGTGGATAATCTAATGGTAAACAAATCTGGTAGTAAACTTGGAAACACCATGTGCTGTTGATTCCATAGAAAAACATCGGTAGTGTGAAAGGTGTTGTTAAGGTTCCTTAAACTCGTAAAAGGGAGAGTAATAATGATAGATGGAAGTATAAATATGAGGCGAATGTAACCAAACTTAATTATTTTACAACCTAATAAAAAAAAAACATAAGGAAATTATCTAAATAATAATATCATAACAGCTATTATTTAATCTAAGAGGGATCAAAGTAAGAGTCAGATAATCTTACAATTTGGTAATATACATATTTAGTAGGAAGTAAGTACTTGTAATCTAATGGCCAAGAAAATGTTATTATATGAGTTTGATGCCGTCTAAAGAGATCTTTATTGAATTAATATTATTGACAATGTAATAAGAATAACACAAACATTCCCCATTTGCATTTTAATATACTTATGGTTATGTAATAATTGTCTTCTTACAAATAATCAGGATTGACATAAGATAAAAATACGTGTAACTGTCCATTCAAACTCCCATAATATATGAAAAAATATGTGATTATAAAAATAATTTATATATATATAAATTATTTTTATATATAATAAATATAATATATATAAATATATATAATATATTATTATATAATAATATATTACATATTAATAATATGTAATCTATATATATATTAAATTCATTAACCCCTTAAGTAGCACGTTCGATTTAACTCGAGCGGCGTTGTATCACGTTGAACCAAAACTAATTTTTGCTGGCCGGTTTTGTAAAAAAAAATTGTTCCTTAAGGGGTTAATTTATAAGAATACCAGAAGATTGTGTGTGCCATTAATATAGCAGCAATAGTTTTATTTGTTAAGTAAATTACATGGTCTTCGAAATAGTATTTAAAAGAATTTACAAGAAAGAAGGAAAAAAGAAGAAAACAAGCATAGCATATATTTAAAGACTTATATATAAATATAATTTCTGTACAAAGTGTTGTATATTAATGTTATATGTAATTTCTCACGTGTATATATACAATAATTTTTATTCCATCAAAGAACCATGTTTAAAACATTTTACTTATTAAAATGAATTGTTTATAACTTAGAAATGTTTCATTTATGATATTTACGAAACTCTAACAAGGTGGATAAAATATATATTTAAATATTTTTGTCTTGTAAAAGAATATACGATAAAATTATCTATGCTGTGAAAATCAGAGGAATAGTTGAAAGATGAATTACACAAATTTTTGTCTAAAGCTTGCGTATGTTATAATTTTTTTCTCAATTAAAAACAGATAAAAACAAAAAAAAATATATATATATCCATTTTTATACATCATATTAATTTTTCATTCCCTAAATTTTATTACATTTAAAATTTTCCAAATAATATAATATATTTAATAAAAAATATACAAACAAATAAAATTCTCGTACGTTAATAAAATCAAAATTTAATTCATTTTGTGTGATTCATCTTATAGATAAAATATAAACAAACAATATCTTTTATTCAATGTATAGTAATTTATATTTTACATTTTTTTTTATTAATAAATTTTTTGTCTTTGGCTATGCAATACAATTAAATCAAAATTATTGAAAATATCTTAAGAACTTAATTGTGCCAAGTATAAATTTCTACTACGTACAATACAAAATATTCTATAATCGTTATTACATGTATTGGCAATATGAAATGCTTCCTACTGAATGTAAAGGAAATGCAAAACTCAGTCTTTTGCCCGTTACTTTTTAGACTAGGCGTGAGGTTCTTAAGGAGTATTTTGTAATTATTTTATTACTATGCCTGTGACACAATATTTCATGCGCTTAAAAAGAATTAGAGTGTTGATTAGCATTGTACACTCTAGTTAACGCATTCACCGCATAAAGATTTAATTGTACTTCCAACACTTTCAACTTCAAATATTATTACCCACTTATATTGTTGGGCAAACACCCGCAATTACTCGTCCATAAGCTCGTTCTGGACCCAAATGAATGGATTTCATATTAATGTATACATTGTTTATGCAACCAACATATTGAGATTGTGACGTGCTGCCACGTAATCTTCTACCCAACATAGGATGACCTCCAATGAATATTGGATGCTTTGACAACACTGCTGCTACATTTTTACCACCAATTCCTACTGGAGCAGCCTTGTGATCAACGGATAAAAGTACAGCATTTTTCTGTTTTACAGCTATTGCGAGAAAATTGGAAGATAAGTATTTAGGTAATAAATACATAAATCTACATATATCATATAAAAAAAATCTATATTACCTCGAATATTATGCCAATTACCATCACATAAGGAATTAGGTTTGGATGGTTCAAACGAGGTTTCTATAGAACCTTTAGTGGTCTTAACAAGAAATTTAACAGTACCATTAATCATTTCCAAAACTAGATAATCGCGTTTACCATGAACAGACAGTAAATGTCCCGAAGTTGTACGTGGTTTTATGTCCATTTGAATGTCCATATTACGTCCAACGGTAAATCGATCAACTGAAAGGATTTATTATTATTATTTTTGATAAATGAAATACGCGAGTGTATATGTGTATATAATTACATGTACATATCACTTACTTGCTTTGAACAGATTACTACCGTTTCCTGGGAAGAAGAACAGCCCTGGTTCTATTCGCTCTGAACATGGTATTACACCTACTTTAATAGCAGGTTCACCAACAGTTTGACCGTTCACCATAAAATTGCTTAAACATCCGATGAACATTGTGCTTAAACCCTGAAAAGGAAGTTGTATTTTATTATATAAGTATAACTTGGAATTGATTTAATATATACAAACGTAAAAAAATGTATGCGAAAATACTTCATTATTTTAGTATGCTGTATATAAGTGCTTTATACACTTATATATAGTTATCCTTATTTATCGTGATATGCAATTCTATATATAAATTTGTAAGCTCTTACTATTCTTGACTGCGTCACACTAAACAATTCTGGTGATACACCTCCTACAAAAAATGGTGGATTAACACTGATAGATTCAGTGTTTCCTGGAGAAGAGCCAATTACTGGTGTTTCATTATCTACAGAAAGTTTTCCATGTTGTTTTTCTCTCTTAAAATCAATGTAATGCCATTGATTATCATTTATTAATTTATCGCTCATAAGTACAACTGGTCCACTTCCACAGTCAAATTTGTAATGAATCTTGAAAAAAAAAATTATTTTTATGACAATTTACTTAAGAATTAGAATAAAATAGTAGTTTTAATGTTATACATAATTTTTCTTACCTTTCCGTCAAGAACATATAAAGCGATCATATCTTGTTTATTTGAATCTGCGGCAAAGAAAACAGTTCCATTGTCAGACATTGTTTTAATGTTAATTTGGAAGTCATAGTAATCTCTATATCTTCCATTTATAGATCTATATTCCATTCGGCTGTTGTTTGTAGTACCTGAATATAATAATAACATTAATAATAGAAAATTTTATTAGAATCTATAGAAATAAAGTTGTAATAAATATTAGTTATTATAATTTTTATGCACAAACATGTGCATACCGAATCTCCATGCATTTTCAAGATCAGGATCGGTAGCTGGATAATAAGGTAAATGACATTGATCTATAGTTTGAGATAGAGTTGGTTTTGGAGTAGATGTTGTAATTACTTCAGTTGTTAACTCCATCTGATGACCACGTCCTTCTAAACCAGGTTCTTCATCATCATCCTCCTTTTCTAAATCAATGTCTACTATATCTGTGGCAGCATAAATAAAATATATATATATATATATAATTATTTCTAATAAACATCCATTTGATTAACTTAATTACTAACTAATTTGGGTTGTCCCTTCAGTAGTGTCATCAGGACTTTCTGTAGGTAACAGCGGTATCCAACCATTTGCTTCTGGCTCATCAACAGAAGTAATAGCTATACAAAAGAATCTTCACTTAGTAGTTTGTTATTTTGTAATTGCAGATAAAGAATTTATTAAAAAGATTAAACTTACGTGACTGTTCACCGCCTTTACACTTTCCCAAAAATACATGAGGTTTTTCAGTGGTGTTAGCAAAATTAATAATAATTCCGTTCAAAGTAGCATCACCGATACAACCGACAAACGGTGTTCTTGCATTGTTTTGAGACGTTTGTAAAAAGGCTGGTATACCACCGATATAAAGATTTCCATAAAGAATATGTAGCGACGGGGGTGGTGAATCGGTGCTATAATTTTTAATATCATCAATATCAAGTCTTAAAGATGATTCATTATGTGTCGCTGTTACAACGTGCCACTCATTATCATTGAATTTGATTTCAGCTGGATCAGTTCTCAGTTCTTCCCCTTGACTTTTAAATATTAATACACCGTCGACTAGTTCCATGTAACTTGTAGATGTTTGATCCGGATTGGTGACATAAAATATGAGTCCATCATTTGCCAGTGTTTTGAATTTCAAATTAACTTGAAGGAAGTTGGATACCGAAACATTATTCCATTTCACATATCCTGGCATATTTTCTTCAAAAGATACCAGACTAGCGAACTAAAATGAAAAATGAAGTTTATCTGCGTCAATAAAATGATTAAAATAAGATCAATTTCGGGGGGAAAAATAAAATAGATAATTTACCCTAGCTGGACAACCAGGTATAACTCCAAAGGCTTGTATATTGCTACTAAGATCAATCGATATATCAAGAATAACGACATCATCAATGCAACCTTCGAAACCACTATTCGTAACTGGTTTATAAGGATGCTTAGCATTAGGTGGATATCCTCCGAAATAAATATAATCCAA